TAGATGCGCGAATAGATAGACAGTGCGCCACTTTTTAAACAACTCTCAAAAGGAATGTAAAAATATTTGGGGTGTAAGTTGAGCCTCTTCACAAGTTCTGAGCTTAGGGATTCTACGTCGTCTGCCAATTGCCCTATTGTGACGTTTTAACGGGTAAGCAGATTACAAAAGATAAAGAATTGGGCCAAGCACGATGCCTTGTAAGATTCCATAGTAAACAGGTTAAGAATTGAAGAGTGAATTCTCGTATTTTACTGGTCAGGCTGAAGTTGGTGACTGATAGGAGGCTTTTTTTTAAGCATTCAAACTAAATGTAAAGGATAATAAAGAATTGTTCTTTCCTTACCAATACCACATACTGTCCTTGTGGTGTATACTATGAAAAGAACGATATTTATCAATCAGTTTGCTATGAATATTTTTATATTTTTTAACATTCAGGGTTGGGTATAAAAATTTTAAATTAACAAAAACAATAAAATCGTCAGGATCAGCCTAAATATATTTTTATTATCTATTACCAGTGTATTGTGCATGAGTCTACCTTCAGGATTCTTAGTAGTTAGAATCATCAGAATCAGAAGTATTCCAGCTCCTGGATCTAGCTCATTGGTCAGTTCAAGATTTTCACCCCAAACCCTGGATTTAAAATACCATTAAGAAGCAAAGAAGAAAACACCAAAACGGAGCAAGAAAATTGTATTCTTCTTCTAAAATTCTACTGGGAAGTGGACGTTCTTGAAGTCTTTAGTTCGTCTTCCTATCCTTCTTGACTACAGGTCAGGCCGACTACTATTATTATTATCTAATTAGAAATCGTGAGATGCGGTCTGGTGTGATGTAGGTTTCAGAAAAACATTTTCTTTGTCGTGCCAACGTTTCAATCTTTATTGAGATCATCTTCAGGGCCTAGGATTTACAAACATTATTTACATTTAACAATTACATTTTGGATGTGGAAAAGTGAATTTGTACAATGCAAAATATATTTTATATATTCAATCATCCTTCCCCACCTCTTCAAAATCCAATGTATATAAACACAAAATAGCAAAATCTCACTGGCATCTCGACACGACACGGAAGAATGGCACAATTACACCGAAGACCAACACTTTGAGTGAGTAGAAATACTTTGATTGAATATTAAAAAAAAAAAATTTTACTTTGTATAAATTCACTTTTTTTCACATCCTAAATGTATTTGTTAAATGTAAACAATGTTTGTAAATCCCAGGCCCTGAAGATGATCTCAATAAAGATCGAAACGTTGGCACGATAAAGAAAATGTTTTTCTGAAACCTACATCACACCAGACCGCATCTCACGATTTCTAAATAAATATCGATTAACGGTCACTAATCACCACACATTATTATTATCGTAGACCACCACAAAAATAATTGGCGGGCAGAAATCGTGAGAAATGAGAAAACTTAAGGTTCATAAACCTGGAGACCAATGAGAAAATTTTAGCTCTTCGCAATGTTCCTATTCGATATGGATTCAAGAAAGTCGATCTTTTACTGTCAAATATTTTGTTAATTCAAATAAAATTACGCGTACAAAACCCATTTTAGGCTCATTTCATCTGGTCAGATAGGGTAGCTTGTTTTCATCGGCATTCGCTGAACAATGAAAATACATTTTAAGAAAAATGAAAGTTGCATTCTTTGTTAGTAAGCATTACTTGAGGAAACTAAAAAAACTGCGAAATGGTTGATTGATAAAATATTTATGACTCCAAGAGCGCCTCTGTGCCAACTCGGCTATGAAATAAATACATGGAAAATTAGCATAGAGATCCAGCTGGGCGAGCACATTCATTTCAACGCAATTACTATAATCACGACTAACAAGCATTACCTTAGTAAACAAAAGCACACAGGAATTTTAACGGGCTTTTATTTATTTGATAGAAAATAAATAAATCACAGTTAATTAGCTTTTAACAATTATAAAATACGGTTTGCTTGGTAGTTTCATTTCATGATTTCTAGCCGCGCTTAACAAGTAAGAGGTTTACTATTTTCTTTATCATTCACGATTCCGATAAATAAAAGCGAGAAAACCTGGGGCCAGCGAGATGCAAAAGATGAACTTCTGGAAAATTAAGCATTCTTCTACTTTCGAAAAAGTTCAAGATAACCTTTTGTTGTTCTGGAGTTGCACAAAGAGAACACATTTTGCATTAGATTTCCAGGTTAATAAAGTTAAAAAATATTTTTCCATTTATCCAGATGAATAAATGTGCACCAAAAATAAGTTTCAATCTTTGTAAAGAAGGAAAATGATAGAAATGAAGCCTTCAGGAACTGGCTAGTCATATTTTCTGAAATTTCGTCTTTGTATTGAACAAATTCTCTTTATGACAGATGTTGCTTTAGAGTAAGGTGTCGCAGTTCTCTGAGACGAGACTGATCCAAGCTGGCGTCTCACTAGGGTCCAATCCTATACACAATTTATACCGCTGATCTGCAAAACATCACAACACTGTCCTTCTCACACACGGGCGATACTGCAAATTTCATCGTCTAACTCCAAACCTACCCAAGCCACCTCCAATCTTAAGCCCATTCAAAAACAATTAAAAATATTAAAGATGGAACAAAAAATGCACCCAAATAGTAACATGCAACGAATCTACGCATTCAGATCAAAAGTTCTCAAAAGAATTATCATGACAGCTTACTAACATGTTCAACTTTACTAACCGCAATAATCTTAACGTTCCCTCCGTCAAAAACGTGATACTTTTACTTCCTCAAGTTTTACTCTAATCTTTCGAACCATCCCATTCTTAATCCTGAAGCCTACTGGACTACATACATCCAAGAACCCTCAACGTCGATGGCTCCGTGACTTCCTCGCCTTAACGCGGTAACAAACAAGTGCTTGAATTGGCTGGCTTCTCATAACATGTGTCCTCCGGGTGCAGTACTGGCTCTAATTTTAGTGTTTGTCCCTGGATTTTATAGCGTTAAAAACAACTTGTACTCTGTATAATTCATGTACATACAAAAAAAATAAAATAAAAATAAAATTGACACCAGTTGTATAACAGTATCAGAGGCTAACCATCTATTATGCCGTTTTTTATGTCATATGCACGATATGGCATGTTAATTTGGACGATATCGATTATATTGGCCGGTTTTTCCTTGTTGAGTTTTATTTTTATTCCATAGAACGCTCGTACACATGATGATTTAGGATGAGTTAAGTAAAGCGTATCAATAACAAATCACTTTCTATGTTAAATATTCCTTCGGAAAACTCAAAGCAGTGTAGACTAGCTTAACTCATGAAGAGTCATAATCGGGCGGGCGGGACTAAAGTAGGAAGGCGTAAAGTAAAAACGGAAACTATATTGGGCCTAGTATGCCCCCTTGAGGCACTCCCATATTATTATTCTTTATGGGAACTAACCTCACGGACATACTGCGACTTTTATATCAACTGTAGAGTGCCTTCCCTAGAATATTGTGAGATTGTATCTAAATTTTACCTAGTTTAGTGAAGAACTGATGAGATCCATGAGTAAGAACCAACTATTGAAGATGACGAGAAGGCGAAACGCGTCTGACAAACCTAAACAATGAGTTCCCTGACGACAAGTAAGAGAGAGAGAGAGAGAGAGAGAGAGAGAGAGAGAGAGAGAGAGAGAGAGAGAGAGAGAGAGAGAGATCACAATAACATGCAAGTGCACGCTTATGCGACTGGAAAACATGGAAAGGATACTTCGAAAAGGCGACACATCACGTTAGAAATGGAAATAAAAAAAAGAAGAACCAATGAGCAAATACGTAATGGATTTAAAAAAAGGGCCAATTTTTACAATAGAATTAATTAGTAGGGTAAAGTCACCAATAACCTTAGGGGGAAAAATTAATGTATAAGTTTTACCGAACCAACACAGATACTTAAAGTACTATACTGAATATATAATCGTGCTCAAATACTTTTATGGCTGCACCTTTCGACTCCGAAAATAATTAAGTTGAGTAATTACAGCTAGATGGAAATTACGGTGTGGTGGTTGTTTTAAGCTGCATTGTTATCACAATTAACTGAAATAATTGATAACCATTTCTGACAATATTTTACCGAGTAATTCGTGGGTCAATCTTTCACTAAAGAATTGACTTTTTATGTACGATTAATTTTATTTTATTGACAATTTGGTATTTTCCATTTACAAATAAGAAATCATAAAAAATTAAAGGAACGCGGTACCTTGTTGTTAGGAATAAAGAGTTTGGCAACTGCATAATGCAAATCTAGATATGAGCAATTTGTAATCATACAGTGAAGGCTTCTTTCTTTGCAAATACAACTTCCATTTTGACCTTTTAACCTAACTTGCAATTTTGTAAGTTTATGAAATATTGAAATTTGAAAATGAATTAAAAATCCATATAGTTTGAATGTAAAAAATATCTAACAAGAAAGTCTAGGATAACAATGATGTGGTGGTTATTTCGTGAACCAGAAGAATGTATTAATGAACTAAGTTTTAAGCAAATAATTAAAAAAGAAAGTAACACAAGTTTATAGATACCTCATGAAATTTTTGATTTGCATGTGACCATTTTGTTATGAGCCAAAAGACTAAGAATGAAATCTAAACATTTTCCCTTATAAAATAATATTATGTTAAAGACCGACAAATTTCATGATACAGACTTGAGAAATCAATCAACTAGGAAAAAACTGAAAGAAAACTTTTTACAATTCTAAATTGAAAAGTTGCTACTACATGAAATCACAGGGAAGTTTGGTTAAAAAAGAGAAAAGGTTTTTAACTTATCAGACTAATAGGTGTCTCAGCCAATTTGCATAATGTTTAATAACATTTTCGAAAAGGCATCCCCTTGAACTAGGAAGTGATGCTGGCGAGGGGCAAGTGCAAGGTTCGGGATTGGAGAGGGAATCTGGGAACAGAGAGAGAAAGTGGCCTTGAGGTGGAGGGTGCTATGGTATATATAGTAAACTCGGTCCACCGAGAAGGCATCAGTCTCGCAATGGCGATCCAATCCACAGTAAGTAGCAGACAGTGGATAGCATTTTCTCGACAAGTGTTTACCGAGGACAGTTTACAGTGTTCAGTGCCCTGACTTCGAAGTGTTTTCTTTTGAAATTTTAAATTTACCATATTAATCATCCTCGTAGCTCAAGACGACTGTTTTGCAATTACTAAATGTTAAAATTTCTATGGAAGACAACGCAAGAAAAGTTTGGACTTTTTAGTGAACCGGACTAGAAGGACTTCATTTTTAAATTTTGATCTATCACTAATCACTTCTTCTTTTTTTTACAGGCGAAGTGGTTACTACTTGGAGCCCTGGTAGTCTTCGCAGAAGCTACTTTTGGAGGCCATGAACAGTAAGTATTCTCTCAAAAACGATAAAACCGAATTCACATAACAAGTAATATTTGACCACTATAAGACAAAAACATTGCAAAAAATCCATAAGAAGAAAATATTAACATTTGACTGTCAGATTATAAAGTCATCAGTTGTTATTAATATTTTCATACAATTAGATTCATAATTAATGGCACATCATAACATATTCCAACTGGAAATTATTATTGTTTTTAAATTTCTTGTCTTTGGAAACTATAGCAGAAAATGAAAACAAAATAGCCAAGTTACCTTATTTTCTCTGTTATGATTTCTTGATCAATATATTCATGAACGTAGGGTTCAGAATGTTACGAGCTATTAATAATAAATTGTAGATTCACATCTAGTCAACTTTTTACATGACTTTTTCAAATCATTTTTTAGATGGTCTTACAATAAATTTAAATTTTTTAGTGTTCATATTCGAGTTCACGTGCCAAAGCTAGTCCACGAAGTCCATCACGAAAAGCCTGTTGTACATCATGTTGAAGAGCACAGCCACAGTGAATCTCATGATGACCATCACCACGGCGGTTTCGGAGGCGGTGGTGGTGGAGGTGGATTTGGTGGCGGTCACAGTTTTGGAGGCGGCGGCGGCGGAGGAGGCCACGGATTCGGAGGCGGTCACTCCTTCGGAGGCTTCGGAGGTGGCGGTGGTGGAGGCCACCATGGAGGATACGGAGGAGGAGGATTTGGCGGTGGATTCGATGGAGGACATGGAGGAGACGATCACGGTTTCGGAGGAGACGAGGATCACTTTGGAGGTGGCGGCGGAGGAGGTGGTGGCGGTGGAGACTTCTCAGGCTACGGAGGGGGTGACGACCACGACGAAGATGGCGGCGGATACAGTTACGGAGGTGGAGACAGTTATGGAGGAGGCGGTGACGATCACGGACACAGTTTCGGAGGAAGTGGAGGATTCGGCGGTGGCGGAGGACACGGCCACAGCTCCGGTGGATCTTTCAGTTTTGGTGGCGGTAGCAGCGGTGGTAACGGCGGTCACGGCGGATACAGTTACGGAGGAAGCAGCGGTGGTGGGGGAGGAGGACACGGAGGATTCAGCCTCGGAGGCGGTGGAGGTGGACACGGCCACGGCCACGGCCACAGCTCCGGTGGATCTTCTTTCAGTTTTGGCGGTGGAAGCGGGGGAGGCCACGGCGGGTACAGTTACGGAGGCAGCAGCGGAGGCGGTGGCGGCGGCGGCGGCGGCGGCGGCGGTCACGGTTTCGGCGGTTTCGGAGGCGGTCACAGCTTCTCCAGTAGTGGAAGCGGTGGTTTCGGAGGTGGCCACGGAGGCGGCAGCAGCGGTGGCTACGGAGGCGGCAGCAGCGGTGGCTACGGAGGCGGACATGGAGGCGGCGGCCTCGGATCTTACGGAAGCGGCGGCGGATTCGGAGGTGGTGGCGGAGGCGGCCACGGATGGGACAAGAAATAGACATTTCATGAGACTGATAACCACCCTTTCCTATTCAATCAACCCCCATCCCCTTCCAAAGTACCTCTTCTTTCCAAAGTTTAACTTTAACCGGTTGTTATATTTGTATATAATAATTGTTGAATGTTGTGTAAATAAATATTTTTTATAAGAAACGTTAAATATGTTGTTTACATTTTTTATTCGACCTTATAAATATTTATAACAATTAAATTAAAACAGTTTGATACGATCCTAACGCAGTTCCAGCCAAAATACCAATTACTCGATACTATTTTATAAATATTAGAAATAAGTTGACTGCCAAATACAAATTTGCAAAGTTTTCATTTCATGTACATCTTAACGCTATCTTTTAAGGGATTTGGCGTTGAAAACAATTTTACATTGGGTTAAATCAGCTTTTGAATTATGTAATATTCAAGCGTATCTCGTCGATCATTCAACTTTGAGCTTTCCATTCAAAATTTTTATTCCTATCGAATATCCCCAGGTTTAAGAGAAAACAGTTAAGATTTAAAGGAAAGAACAAGTTTTAACGAAAGCCACTTATTTTTATTACCTTGCGGAATAAATACCTAACGCATCATGCACTTCAAGCTCGGACTAGTCTGAACTGTCTGCTCAATTTGCTGCTGCGAAATCCGTTTAATTTTAAATTAACTTTTGCTCTTAACAAGCCGACTGGATAGCAACCGTATCGATATTACTTTCACACGAGGTTCAAGTATGTAAACACGGGCCGGACTCTGCCAAGAAAAAGGAACGGGTGAAAGGGAAAAAGTTTCACTCGCCCACTCGTCAAACTATCCACCTCCCCGGAAACCAAATCGCGGATTCAAATAACAGCGAACGTACGATCCACGAATATTAACCAATAGGAATTTGTCTATTCTCCATGAAATACTTTCTGATGGTCTCTCTACCTTTTTCCTAAATTACCAATAAATGTATAGAATTGAAATTTAACATTTTTGTAAAATTATCACTCTATATCTGTTATTTTTAATTAAATTTTCTTATAGTTTGTTTTTTCCTTCACCCTTTATCAGAGAACGTTTTTTACAAATTATGAATTATTTTTGAACAATATCAAAAACAGGAAAATCAACCGGCAAATGTGCCAAAAAAAATCATATTCATAAAATAGGCAGGAATTTAATAAACCGTTTCTTGTAAAAAATAAAAAATATTTTAAATATGCCTGAATTTGATTAGGAATAATTGGTTTTTATTAATTTAAAACATAACTGAGTTTATTTAGCATGCAACTTTATTGTTGTAAGAAAAAGTTTCAAATTCCTGCATGTTCTTTAAAGTTAGGTCAATTTGCCGGTTGACTTTCCTTATTTTCATATCGTTTATAAATAATTTGTGTAAACATTTGTAAACCATGCAGGAATTTTATAATCGTTTTCTTTATAAAACAAAAAATAATCTAAAAAATGTTTCAATCCGCGTGCACGTATCTAATCAATTTTTCTTAATTTAAAATTTAACATAACTAAAACATAATTAAAGGCGTAAAGTTAAGCCAACTTGCCGGTTGACTTTCCTTATTTTGATATCGTTGATATTGTAAATAATGTTTGTAAACATTTGTAAAAAATTCACTAGTTTCGTGGTCCGCTTGACCAATTAATATATTACAATTATATGTAGAGATTAGTGACCGTTAATCGATAATTATTCGGATATCGTGAGATGCGGTCTGGTGTGATGTAGGTGTCAGAAAAACATTTTCTTTGTCGTGCCAACGTTTCGATCTATATTGAAATCATCTTCAGGGCCTGGGATTTATAAACATTTTTTACATTTAACAAATACATTTAGGATGTGGAAAATTGAATACACCACATCCTAAATGTATTTGTTAAATGTAAACAATGTTTATAAATCTCAGGCCCTGAAGATGATCTTCCTTATTTTGATATTGTTTATCACGATATCCGATTAATATTACAATTAATTAAGGCTTCAGTAGAGATAAAAAAGTCAATGGCACGAGCGGGATTCGAACCTACGATCTTCAGCTTCATACGCCGCTGCTCTACCACTTGAGCTATCGTGACCTCGATCCACTTCAATTCAAAAGGTGTGGTTGAGATGGGAAGTTGATGTCCGAGTGGATCGAGGTCACGATAGCTCAAGTGGAAGAGCAGCGTCGTATCAAGCCGAAGATCGTGGGTTCGAATCCCGCTCGTGCCATTGACTTTTTTATCTCAACTGAAAACCTTAATTAATTGCAATTTGTAAATAATTTGATTTATATTTTAACAGTTTCAAAACATAAAAGTCAACCTGCAAATGGGCCTAACGCTATAAAACATCCAGGAATTTTAGAATCGTTTTCTTAATAAAAACAAAAAATAATCTAGAAAATGTTTCAATTTGCTTGCAGGTATCTAATCGGTTTTTCTTAATTTACAATTTAACGTAACTTATTAAGCAGGCATTTGTAAAATTAACACTTAACTCCAACATTTTGAATTAATTTTTTACAATATCAAAAACAGGAAAATCAACCGGCAAATGTGCCAAAAAAAATCATATTCATAAAATAGGCAGGAATTTAATAAACCGTTTCATGTAAAAAATAAAAAATATTTTAAATATGCCTGAATTTGATTATGAATAATTGGTTTTTATTAATTTAAAACATAACTGAGTTTATTTTGTATGCAACTTTATTGTTGTAAAAAAAAGTTATTAAATTCCTGCATGTTGTATAAAGTTAGGCCAATTTGCCGGTTGAATTTCCTTATTTTGATATCGTTTATAAATAATTTTGTAAACATTTCTGAAAAATTTGAATTATTTGTAAATAATTTCCACAACATAAAAGTCATCCGGCAAATGGGCTAACGTTGTAAAACATGCAGGAATTTTTTAAATCGTTATCTTTATAAAAACAAAAAATAATCTAAAAAATGTTTCAATTTGGTTGCACATATCTAATCAGTTTTTCTTAATTTAAAATTTAACGTAACTTATTAAACTGGCATTTGAAAATTACACACACAAAACACTAAACTCTAATATTTTGAGTTAAATGATCTTAATTTTGTTTGTTTTTCCTTCATAATTTAATTAGTTTAAATTAGTTATGAACAATATCAAAAACAGAAAAGTCAACGGGCGCCTTACTTCATAAAATATGCAGGAATTTTGGAATATATAAACGTTTTCTTGTAAAAAATAAGAAATAATCTAAAAAATGTCTGAATTTGCTTAGGAATAATTGTTTTGTATTAATTTAAAATATAACTGAGTTTATTTTGCAAGCAACTTTATTGTTGTAAGAAAAATTCCTGAATGCTGTATAAAGTTAGGCCGTTTTAACGGTTGACTTATTTTGATATCGTTTATAAATAATTTTGTAAAAATTTATAAAACATTTGAATTATTTGTAAACAATTTCCAAAACATAAAAGTATACTGGAAAATGGGCCTAACGTTATAAAACAAGCAGGAATTTTATAATCTTTCTCTTTACAAAACTGAAAAATCTAAAAAGGGTCTGATTTGCTTGGATATGAGTAGTGTTTCTTAATTTAAAATTTAACGTAATTTATTAAGCAGGTATTTAAAAATTAACACCACCCCATTATTTTGAATTAAATTATCTTATTTTTGTTTGTTTTTTCCCCTCATATTTCATCAGTAGGCGTTTTATACAAAGTTTGAATTATTTGTGAACAATACCAAATACAGAAAAGTCAATGGGCAAATATGCCTAACTTCATAACATATTCAGGAATTTTGTAAACTTTTTCTTCTAACAAATGGAAAATAATCTAAAAAATATCTGAATTTGCTTTGGAAGAATTGGTTTTAATAATTTAAAACATTCAAAATATAACAGAACTTATTAAACAGGAAACTTTATTTTTGTAGGCAACGATGCTGTAAAATTAACATTTTATCTCGGATATTTTTAATGAAATTTTTCGTACTTTTTTGTATTTTATCTTCATCCTGTGTCAGTGACCGTTTTGTACAAAATTAAAGTCAATTTATTAATTAATATTTCAGAATAATATCCGAAACAGTAAAGCCAACCGGTAAATGGCCTAACTTTATAAAACAAGCAGGAATTGTTTTTCTTTAAAAAAACGAAAAATAATCTTAAAAATGTCTTACTTTACTCGGGAATAATTAGTTTTTCATAATTCAAAATATTACAAAACTAATTAAGAAGGCAAGTTTATCATTGCAAACCTCCAACATTCGTCATATTATCACGCTATAAAAGTTTTAAAAAATTTTTCGGAGGGTTGCAATAATATAGCTGTGTGCTTAATAAATTATATATACAAATTCAATATTATAACAGAAAAATATAATAATAAAGGTACACAAAAAATTCAATGTAATACATATTATAATAAATGTTGTGTTGCCAATAATTTTAGTCTCAAACTGACTTTTTAAAAAATAAATTTTTTAACTTCCTCTAAAAAAAATTAAAAAATTGTTTCTTTCCAAAAATGTAGTCAAAAATACTACTTTTCCGAAACTGAGGTGAAATCGAATAAAATTATGTATATACCTAGCAATAAAAAATTATATTTTTTGTTAAAATAGACTTATGTCTTAGGTATGTAAATTTTTTGACTGGGGGCGTTCAAAAATACACGGTTGTCAGTGGGAATCAAACCAGCGACTGAGGTTTCCACGAACGCGCTAATAACTTCTGCGGTACTAAAGGTAAAACTAAATAAATAAAAATGATATTTCTCGATCAAACAAAATAATTTAATAAAATCTCTTTTATAATTACAAAAAAGTCCGGTGTTTCTATTAAAATCTTTAAAAAAAATATTTTTTGTCGAAAAGTAAAGTACACTTGTGTTTAGGAGCCCTTTTAAGAATTGACGGGAGCCCTGTGAGATTTGTTAACCGTTTATGACTTAATATTTAGAGCAAGACGAACTAAGCCAAAAATCCCGTGGGTTCAGTGATAGTTTAGATATGCCAAATAAATCAGTGTTGCTAATTACACAAACAGAGAACAACACTGCGCCTGCCCTAAATTCGCGGAATTCCGTGCTAACCTTAAACAAAATTCCAAAAGTTGGCATTACTCTGAAGCAACTTTGGACAAGATTAGGTTAAATTAAATACTGGATGTGAAAAATTTTG